TATAAACAATGTTGTTATGTTGCACCTTTCTTCCGGCTTGTCTATAGATCGTGGGGGGAGGACAACGGTTTTTTTATTTAATAGTATTTAAACATGGTTAATTCCAATATTCGATCTGATTCACTATCGTGATTTTGCTCACGTCAGTGGGTTGAGTCATTGCAACAAAAGAGTGGCTTATGTACACCATGACTTCCAACGTAGGCCACGCCATGTTGTGTAAGAAGGAAAAGAACAGAAAAAAAAGGCTCTGACGAGCAAGTATAAAAAGCGTGCATTGAGAAGAATTTATCAGTTTAAAATTTTTGTTCAAACTTGAATATAAACCTAAATTATGCATAATAACAACGATGTCGATGATGCACGGGGTTTAGATGAAGTAGCATGCGGCACTCCAACAACACCACCACCAGCAGATCCACCAAGTACAAATAGGAAGATGCGTGATATATATCCTCATCGATGATTAAATTTTATATTGACATTCTAATGATTAATTTTTATGTTATCAAACGAGATGATTTAATCTCATTATTGGCTTTAATCATTCTATGCAATATTGTATGAAACTAAGCAAATAGTTGTACCAATACACAAAGTCTCAAATATTGAAGAAAAAATTTATATATATATTGTTTTTATAATCATTTTTTTGTATAAAAAAAAGATTTTTATAGATAAATTTGATTAAAATTTGACATAGTATCTATTCGTTTATTATCACTTTTAGTAGAACTAAATAATATAAAAAAAAAACGTATGTGGAAAAGTGAATAAAGCAGTGGAAATTATAAAAATGAACAAAAAAAAAAGAAGAGAGAAAATACTATAGATACATTTTCAGTAATTATCATTCGTTTTATTTTTGTATGAGGAATCGTTTTGTCATTGAAAATTTATTTTTCATGTATATCTTCAATTGTAATTGGAAGATCTTTATAAAAATCATGAATACTTTTTTTGGCTTCATTCAAATGTTTACGATCGCCTAAAATAATATTTAAAATAAATATCACTTTTGTTTATTTTTGAAAAAAAGAATTAAATTAACCGTGAAAAATCCATTCACCATTACAATGATCATGACCAATATCTGTTGTACCTGGTTCTACTGACCAAGTTTGTGGTAAAGAAAAATTGAGATTATGTAATTTATATATATCATGATATTTATGAAATTGAGAACCTGAAAAATTATATTTTATTCGAAAAGATGCTTGATCTTCCATAGCACTATGATATAAAACAAAACAAAAAAAAAACAATTGGAATTTTCCAACTTTTTCTTTTTTCGTTTTTTTATTTTGTTACCCTGTAAACCATATTTGAATATTGTTCATGGTTGTTGAACCTAATTTAAATGCTTTTGATTTTGATATATGTGGAAGATTAACATAAAGAAATTCTTCAGTTGGATCATAGCTAAATTGAACATTAGATGAAAGTATTTCATGTGGTACTTCACCCCAATTTTCTTTAATAAATATATCTTCAGGATGCATTTCAATTGTTGATATATTATTTTTTCCAATACGTTCAATAACATGTTGATATTTAAGTAATGCATTTCGAATATTTCCTAAGAGAAATAAACAATTTACAATAAGTTTTTATAACTAAAGAATTTATTTTACTAGTAACATTAAATGGAATAGTTAAATAACCTGATCCACTTCGATCAGGATTTTTTAATAAAGTTCGATCTTCAAGAACAAAATAGACTTCGGTTGGACGATCTTTTGACCAATTTAGTACATCACCAAAACTAACATCCCAATCAGCTGGAATAGAAGTTCGATTCTCTGAAAAATTTTTCAATGTAGAATCATCTATTGAAAGACCATTTTCTCGTTTTAATGTTTCTGGTTTGTTAACTAAATCAAAATATCGAGCTGGTTGTTCATTATTTATACTTGTCAAAGCCATGTTTAAAAAATTCTTTTATTTATTTTTTCTATAATCTACAATTAAAATTATTTTATTATTTTATTTCAATTTCAAGTCCTTTATAATGTTTTTCAATCGCTTTTTGTGCTTTCTCTTTTGTTTTTTCTGGTCCTTCACATTTCCATTCGCCTTGTATTTTATTTTCACTAACTAATAATGAACCTTGTTGTTCACTTTGCCATCCAGGTGGTAAACCCATAATAATACCACAAGGAACTTTGCTACATGTTTCTTTTCCTTCAAAATTATATTTAACAATAAATTTAGTTTTTGTTTCATTGCTTGTTGATATCCATTGAATAATATCTTCTATTTTAGTTGTTTCTAATTGAAATTGTTGAGATTGATTAGGATTTGATTCAATTGTAACATAGAGAACTTCATCATTTGGATCAAATGAATATGATATATCAGTTCGATTTTTGATCGATTTTGGAAGTTCTTTTGAAAATTTTTTGACAAAGAATGAATCATTTGATGTAATTTCAATTGATGAAACATAATTACGACCAATAGAATCCAATACCGAAGAAAAATAATCGATAGCATCAGAAAATTGAGAAGTTATTGCAAGTGGAATTGTTAAATAACCTGAACCAGATGTATCAGGATTCTTTAAAAGTGTTCCTTCTGATGTGACACTACAATAAAGAAACAAAACAAAAATTAAAAAAAAAACTTTTATTTAAATTAAAACTTACAAAAAAGTTTCTGTTGGTCGAAATTCACTCCATGAAAGTACATCGCCTGGTTGAACATCCCAATCATCAGATACTTTTAAATTCTTTGGTGGTTTTGATAATTGAATAAATTTTCCTGTCGATTTTGATTTAATCGATGCATTAGGTTGATTAACAAGATCAAAATAAACAGCTTTCATTGGTTGATTCTATTTAAAGTCAATACAATTGAAATTCCAAATATAGTAAGATGGAGAAAAAAAAAGAACAAGCTTAAGTGATGAATCAGGATTAAACAATGTGAAATAAAGCAAATAGGTTTTATTCAAATATGTATGACGTTAGTAGAACATAGTAAAGAATGACAAATGAATAACAAAAATGATATTTTTATGAAAATGAAAACAATATGATATATGATCGAAATTTTTAGTAAATCATTTTTTTTTCTACCCCCGCTTATTTGAATCATTTCCTCTTGAGTAAAAAAAAACAAATATAAGAATTTAACTTTGACATACAGAAATTGTTGTAGCTTTTGTTGAAAGTTTCTTCGGTTGATTTAGTCGCTTTCTTGTTGTAGTTGGTCGTTTTCTTGCTGTAGTTGGTCGTTTTCTTGCTGTAGTTGGTCGTTTTTTTGCTGTAGTTAGTCGTTTTCGTCGAACTTTCGGCATAATTTATTATTTTCTGTAACAGAAAACAAATGAAAATTAAATATTATGAAAATAGCGCTTGATATTTTCCAAAATATATTGATTATTTTTATAAAATAAAATTTTTTTTTATTGATTTATATATGAAAAAAAAATATGAATCTTAAAAATCGAATAAATTTTTCTTTATCTTAACTCCAAATATAAATCATCATGTCTTTCTTTTTGATAAAATATTTTTTGAAAGTTTAATTAATAATAAAACATGAACACATCTGTTAACATGACATATGTATTGCCCTTGAAAGCATCTGATAATATGCAGAGCAGTTATTACTTTTGATTGTTCATTGTGTTTGTTTCATTCCTTTAAAAATCA